CCTCCGCCTCCCCGGCTTTGCTCCGGGTGTCCCTGGTCTGCTGGGGACCGTCTCCAGCAGACCAGAGGCACCGGGAGCAAAGCGGCAGCGGCGTGCAGGGACCTACCTGGCAGCCCAGCTGTTCTGTCCCAGGCTCGAGATTCAGCTGCTGTTGAAACTGATCAGTCGCTGATTCCAGGAAGCTGGGGGCAGAGCAATTCTGCCTCCAGCTTCCTGTAGAAAGCCCCTGGTCAGTTTCAGCAGCAGCGGCTGAATCTGGAGACAGTTCCGACTTACATACAAATTCAACTTAAGAACAAACCTATAGTCCCTATCTTGTACGTAACCCGGGGACTGTCTGTACTGATTTAATTTTGCCCCCCAGTTCTGCCTTGTTCCTTCTTTATCTCTGGCCCATCTCCCATGTCTCTATGTTTTTCCACTCACCTGCCCCTGTCAAATGTAATGCTACAAATTCTTCAGAGGATGACTGAATTTTCTATAATTATTTGGTCAGAAGACTAAGTTTAGTGTAGGAAAGATTTTAAAATGAGCCCTTTTTGAAAAATAGTTTTAAAATCTTAGCTAAATAACTACAATCCCTACAAGCTCCACTGTGTGTGTGTCTCTCATATACACACACACACGTTATCTATCTCTCTAAATATAGACATAGACAGACATTTTACAGTGTCTGTCAGTCCCTTTATTCAATAATTCCTCTTAAACCGTAAGAGCTAGGGCCACCAAATCTGGTATGTAGCTTCCTCTTATCCTAACTTAAGGCAAGGTCAGCATTTGGATGTGCCAGGATAACCAGAAGCACCAGGAAAAGGACTGTTTTCCATAAAATGAAAAGGGAGGGGCTGCTGTTCTGAGGGACACAATATGAGAGTGGCTCCTGGGGGCAGCAAACCCACAGAGAACAGCTATCCTACAGTGTCCACTGGGGGGTAGTCGTACCATCAAGAGAGTGTCCAGCAGGGCTGGGGTTTTGCCATCTTGCTGGCCACCAAAAAAGATTAAATCTCTCTTCACTAGGTTAGCCAGTCTGAATCCAAATACTCTCTTTGCCCTCCCTCAAAAGGTGAACCCCATCCCTGCTTAGCAGTCCTTCTTCCTGGAACAGCATCCGATGATCAAGGAAGTCAAAGCCCCCCTGCTGACACCATCTTTGCAGCCAGGCACTCACCTCCAGGATGCACCTGTCTCTGCCTAGGCCCCTACTTTGCCCAGAAAGACTGAAGAGACCCACCACCTGTGCTCCAAACTCCTTCACCCATACTCCCCAAGCCCTGAAGTCACTCTTGATCTGCTCGAGGTCAGATCTTGCAGTATCATTAGTGCCAACATGGATGAGTAGCATAGGGTAGTAGTCAGAAGCCCAGAAAATCCTCGACAATCCCTCCGTAATGTCTCAGATAAGGGCCCCTGGCAGGCAGCATACCTCCCTGGATGTCACGTCATGGTAACAAATGGGTGCCTCCATTCCTCTCAGAAGAGAGTCTTCAACCACCACTACCCTACATTTACTTCTCACAGTGATGATCATGCAAACTGTTTTCTCTCCTAAGTATGATCAAAACCAATATTCCTGTTGCAACTACAACAAATTACTTCCATGGAAGAGCAACATTTGAAAAGCATTTAATGTATTTTAGTTCCCTTGGATTCAACATGGCACTTGCAAAGACGAGCCAGCACCATGTGAGTACCCAGCTCTTACAGAACACAGATCACAGTTTCAGATGCTGATGTAAACCCGTTTCCCACAGGTGGCCAACACTTACATATGTAGAAATAATTTCACCCACCTATGAAATATAGCCATCACTGCAAGAAAAGTACCTGAAGTCATTTTGCAATTTGGCCACAAACCTTTGAGGAAGTAAAGTAACAGGACACTTGAAAACATAGAACCCCAAAACAAAAGCAGAAAAAATAAACCACTAAAAGATATAAGTTAAGAGAAGAAACTATGGTTTATTAATCTAAGCACGATACTAAAGTACAAAAGAAGAGAGCATTTGTAGGTTGATAATAGCCTAAGTATCACACAGAGGTGTTAATTGAAAACACTGCTGTTAATGAACCATTAAGTCATCCAAATATACCATGTTTTAGTGCATATAACCCGCGGGTTATACAAAGTTTTGCAAACCCCGCAACGTTCCCTCCCCCCCCCGGGGTATACATGTCTGCGGAGTATACAAGTTATTTTTACTTGCCTGGGTGCGAGTGTGGCTTCCCTCCCACAGGCCGGCCAGCTCGCCTGCGCTCTCTGTTCCCCTCTCCCGGAGGAGGGTGGGTTGCACTTGGCTGCGGCTGCACGGAGCCTGGATGTGAGTGCGGCTCCCCTCCTGCAGGCCGGCCAGCAATTACCAGGTACCTTAAAGTAGCATATATAATCCGCGGGCTATACATGTGTGCGGGTTATCTTAGACTTTTTTTTTTAAAACCACATTTAGGAAAAACCACGGGTTATGCACGGGTGCGGGTTATATACGGGTGCGGGTTATATACACTAATTTATGGTACTCAAGTTCAACATTCCTGGGAAATCATACCAAAAACTAGGACAGTGATCCTAAGCTTTAAGTAAGGAAGATTTGGAGAGAGGGGAGGGGGAATAAAGGATGTTAATACAGGTATCATTCAGATACTCAAAATCCAATCCTAATAAACTCAGAAAGCAGTAAACAATAAAGCAAGGGAAAAACATAATGGAAATTAGGAAGGGTAAAGAAGAGGAGATCTGAAGAGCAATTAGCCAGGTATGTTAAAAAAACAAGAAATTCTCAGTATACCAGGAAGAAGAGGTAAGAGAAAACTGTATTATGGGGGGGGGGGGGGGGGGGAGGAACAATTAAGGAAAATAAGGACATTGCAGAAAAGCTAAATGCTGTCTTTATATCGGTCTTAACTCTAGACATACATTTCTTCAAATAATAAGCTAAGAAATTTTTTTTTAAAAGTAATGACGACGTTTCTACTTGCAATTATTTGTACAAGTGCTATTTATGAAAGCACATAATTGCATGTTAACATTTGTGTATATAAATGTAGTTGTTTATATTAACAGTTAACTGTGAGCATAAATTAAAAAATCATACAGGAGACTGCATAATAAAGGGGCTCCAAACTTCTGACCAAATTGTAAAATATTTTTAAAACTAAATTTGGCACATCAACACAAAATATCTCCACCACATGTTATCAGGTTTCTTTGCAAGCATACCACAATGAGTACACTGATTCAATTTTAAATACAGTAGGTAAGTCTGACCATAAGAAAGGTATTTGCTCAGATACATAATTTACTACATGATAACGAAAAGGATAATAGTAATGAGTGAACACAATTAGATTTTGGACACCATTTTCACAGTGATTTTGCATGGCCATAACAGTGTCTTGATGAATGTTTGGGGAATTTTAAAATGCATAATTTAATTTAACTTCCATTAATTACCACCAGTATGGTCTGCATTTGGCAAAAATAAAATCATTAAATAATAACTTAAATCCTGACAAATATAAATTTTTCTACCTTCTTAGGATCCATGTTGAATTTCTTCCTTCCGATAGCTATTTGCTTATTTCTCTGTGTAGTTTTGCTATTCATTTGAAAGAACAAAAAAAAATAATTACCAGCTGCCCTTGCCAAATGGAGTATGCAATAATTTTAAATTATCTCATTTTATTTATATTTTCATCATTATTTTTAATAATTTATTTTTATATGGTCAAAAATCATAGTATCATAAGATATTATCTTCCAAAAAGTGACAACCCAAAATAGTCTATTATTTAACATGTTACACAGAAAGACTTGTTACTTATCACAGCTTCACAAGATAACAGTATTAGCTATGGAAAAGTCTATTAGAATACTAAATAATATAAATTATATAATAATATAAATGTATAAATATCCAGATTTTGGAAATACACACAATTTTTGTTTCCTGTTACTGAAACACCTATGCCAGGATCCTATTACTGAGTGGTTTTTAGAGTTACTTACTTTTCTTCTACACTAGTCAGATTATCAATTTCTGTCATAACCTCTGCTATTTCAAATTTTAACCTCTGCCAAAAGAAAGAAAAGAAAGTAAGTTAACCAACCTTTATTAAAAAGCATTTTTAAAAATATTCATTCTGCCCCAAATAAATGTTAATGTGATCAATGCAGATTTCATTTTAAGTCAGTAGAGTTGTGAGAGTGTTACACAATCAGAATTTACTAGAATCTGACATAAATTAGCATTAACAAGTACAGAGCCCTCTGTTCTAGTCTGAAAACTTGATATGAAAGAGGCTCTACTGAAAATCTAACTTGGGACCCTAATAATAATAATGACAATGACTAGATTGACAAGGAAAAGGAGGGAGAAGATGGCCCCATATTATGTGCAAAGATGGTGAGCAAAAAAATCATACTTTTCTAGATGTGCTCCCTACTCTTCTTTTTCATTACTGGCTATTGCAAAAATGTATCATGAGGCAGAATGGTGGTGAGGAGTTTCTGCAATAAATAGCAATGGGATTCTTTGTGCTATCCAAACAAGAATCAATAACAGTTGTGGCTCATTTGGGATATATGGTTTACATTTACACCAGCATTACAGATAGACATTTGTGTCTTGTCACTAGAAGCTGAGTTCTACTCAGACCATTAGCAACTCCCAAAAATCAACTTGTGTTGAGATTCTCTTTTGACTCTTGATCCAAAATTCATTGCTTAGGGTCATCTCTTCTGGCTACTGATGCCAATTTCTTAAACTTTAATAATATATTTATCTTAATCTTTTTCATAGTCTCATTGCCAATGTTACAAGTATTATAAAGTTTCAGTATGAGAATTCTCTGCTCCAACATCTCAATTCATTATGTCCCACAATCATCTACAATATCTCTTTATATGATATATTTAACTATACAAATGAATGTATGTAGGTACACACACAATATATTATACAGATTCAGGGTAAAATTTTCAAAAGTACTTGAATGATATAGGCCTTGTCTATGCTGGCATGTTTTGGCACCAAAAACTGCCTTTTGGCAATAAAATAGTGAGAGCATTTACACTGTGACTTTTGTTAGGAAAAACACCCCATTTTGGCAGCAAAAAACTTCCACCCCTGTGAGAGGCTTTTGTCTTTTCCTCTCCTTTTACTGTCGACAAAGAGCTAGCATGGACTCTGCTATTTGTTTTGTTGAGTGAGCTGGCTTCCGCCAGTGTCCCACAATGCCTGCCCTGATTACTGTGCTCAGTGTTTTGTGATCTCTGCTGCCCTACAGGCATGCACTCCTCCCATTCCAAAGTTTCAGGAAATATCTGACAGCTGAATGAGCTGCTCCCTTTGGGGAACAAAGACCAAATCATTGGAGTGCTTATGTTCTGCCCTTTATTAGGAACACTGAGGCAGGCAGACTGCTGCTGCAGGGGAAGGAGTGGATATACTGCTGTGCTGTTTTGACATTCCTTAGCATAAAAAGCTCACAGAGCTATGAGGGAATCCCAAGAAGTGTAGGTATCAGCTCTGCCTTCCCACAGCACTGCACTGTGGAATACATACCCACATTTCTTTGCTCTATCACTTGACAGGGTGCTAGCAATAAGGCTTTGAAATTTAACAATGTGAGGCAAAAAAAAGTGATTTGTACTGTTTTCAATGCGGTAACTTTTGCATGTCACAAGCACTTTTGTCGCCGAATCTTCCCAGTGTAGACACAGTCTTAGGAGCTTAAGGGCCTGTCTGCACAATTAGTTCATAGCATTCGGGGTGTGAATCTAGTCTACATTAGCCTGCCATAGACCCTTTGACACATTCTTTAATGAGTTTTAATTGATTCCTCTTTGAAACAGGAAGAATTAGATGACAAATCCATCAACAAGTGTGCATCAGCACAGTGCACACGAACAGTTATTCTGCAACAGGGTAGTGCAGAGTACATTTACACCCCAATAGGCCATGAAATCATTCATATAGACAAGCCCTAAATCTCACTGAAAGTAAGATTTAAGTGTGTTACCGTATTTTCCGGCGTATAAGACAACCCCCTAATTTTCTAGTTAAAACATAGGTTTTCGCCTATACTCGCCGTATAAGACTACCCCCCCTTAAGAGGCCAACCGGCAGCGCCCCAGCTGCTCTGCCCCAGGGTCCACAACAAAAGCCTGGTCTGCTGGGGGGGGGGCGCACTAGCTGCGCCCCCTCCCACCCCAGCAGACCAGGGAGACGCGGAGCAGCTTTTCTCGCTGCGGAGGACGGGGGGGGG